TTTACTATGATGTGCTTATAAAGAAGTATTTTTTTATAAGTTTATTAGTAAAGTGTTGCAGGCCTTGGCGTGATTATTAAAAGGGTTTTACTATGATGTGCTTATAAAGAAGTATTTTTTTATAAGTTTATTAGTGTGTTGCAGGCCTTGGCGTGATTATTAAAAGGGTTTTACTATGATGTGATTATATAGGAGGTGACTATATAGGAGGAAGAAAGTATATAGTGTGTTTTCAAATATATTATATTTTAATTATATTTGTACTAAATACAATCTTAGCATATTTTTACTGTTTACAGGGTTTTTTTCAACCATGTTTAATATTCAAGTATTCAAAAGTGTCTAAAGCATTTTCAAGCTTTACACGGTGCATACTAGGAGACAATTTTCTCGATATGTACCCGTAGTCTGCCATAGATCCGCCAAATACCTGCTGAATATCAGCAGCATATTAGCAGCGCATTTGTAAAATATCAGGAGGTAGATCGATATCGGTAACATAACAGCACAATATTGGGATACCTTGATATCTTACTCTTAATACTCTGGGCCTAAAAGTAAGATATTGGAGTACAGTGTCTGAAATTGGGTTGCGGAATTCAAAATAAGGCCACACCAAGCTGATTTTTCGTTTAACCCCCCCTCGTTTTTAAAGTTTTACATATAAATAATACTGGTATTGACCAATCAGATTGCAGCATTAGTTTTTTAAATTTTTTAAATTTTTTACAGCCAATAAAATCACAGTGTTTTTTCCCCCCTCTATAAAATATTTTATGTTATGTTAAACAAAGAATCAGCTTGGAGTGGCCTAAATAAGATTTATGAATCACAGATTTCGAAATAATTATATCACTAATTTAATTCGAAATCAAAAACCTGAACCTTAGTTCTGAATCACCCTATTGAATGATTTCCCGTATAATTATTTCATTTCAAGCCCTAAATCGAGACCATTTTACATTATTTCATTTAACCCGATTTCTGGATTTAGGGTTTGAAATGAAATGATCGACATTTTGAATTCAAAGCAAGAACAAGTCACATTGCTAAATGACTAGCAAAACTTTTCAAAATGAAATAAAATACGATATCGAAATTATTTTTATTTTTGCTACGTAACATGTAATGTATTTTAGTTGCGGAAAAAACAATAATTTTTGATTAGCGCAAATAAATCCATTTAAGTAATTGTAGCGCGCAATTAAATAAAAAATCGAATTTCAGACACTGCTGGAGTATCCCAAAATTTTGCTGTTATGTTGCTGATATCGATCTACCTCCCGATATCTTACCAATATGCTGCCGATATTCAGCAGGTTTTGGCGGATCTATTGCAGACTAACGGGTAATATCGGGAACCTTTTCCCCCGGTATGTTCCCGATATTCATAGATTCAACCTGTGTTAATAATTAACAAATTTATCTAAAAAATATATTAATACAGTATATATATAATTTTGTTAAAAAATACACTACGCATTCAAAATGCACCCCTACTATATCTCGAAATTTTGCTTATCACAAAGATTAATATTATTAAACCTTACAAATAAAAAATTGGTCTTATCATATCGGATCTAATTGTGATATTAATATTATATTAATTCAGTGTTCTATTCATTTCTGAACAATATCGAAATGCATATATAGTAGTACTGATTTAGTAAAGAAAACCAATCATATATGAGCTTTAATATCAAATATGGAGTGTTGTATATAAGGTACTTTCTGACAATTCAGGTTGGACATATTTTTTAAAGTGAGAACTTTTTTTTTAGTTATTGATATTTATTTATAATTTTATAATATTTTTACACACTTTTTAGTAGATTTTCATTATCGACACTAACGCACTACTTTTCTGATTTTTTTTCACTACTACATATAGTAAAATCGATAAAAGCTACTCAAGCACTATTTGAGGTCTTAGTTTTGATTTATTGTAGCAATTGTGCATTACTACAATTATTACCAAATCGCATTAAGATGATACTTGAGCGATTTTAATAATATCATCATTCATATTAATAATTTTGTCTAAAATTTATAAAAATAGTTGAAAATTACATCATATTGCCCGTACACTATTTTAATCACTAGAAAAATCCATCTTAAGAAGCCATTTATCTCAAAATTTAAAATTTAAAATACGATTTAGAACTTAGATTAGAGCTAAGGTTTTTAAAGTTCTGATATTTTTACTGAGTATTTAACCATTTACCATTTTTGAGAAATAAGATTTATAAATCTATTTAAACTCGATTATTAATACTTATGATTTTATCTTTCATTTTTTCTATTTAAAAATTAAAAATTATTTAAAACATATGGGTTTTTGCCTTGAAAATGACCTTACGGGACTGTAGATTTTATTAATAAAAACTAAAAAAATTCTAGCTATCCAGTAATCTAATTAAAATAATCTTTTTTTTATTTGTAAAGTTTAGTGAGTTCTACAAAATAAAAATAAAAATTATTGAATTGTAAGGTCATTTTCAAGGCAAGGACCCCATATATTTTTTAATTATTAAATAGGACAAGGCGGCGAAGTCGTCCCAAAGTCATGTTCTAGTTAAACAACAAAGATAATATTTAATTTCACTAAAAAAATTTGATATTAGTAATTTGAATATAGTTTATGTCCCATATGATGGTAATTTGTAAAATTTAATAATTAGAACGATATTAGATACATATTATTAATTTTTACTAGCAATAAAAAATGAGGAATTTTTCAATAACTACCATGAGTTGGGATTGCATGCGCATATTTTCGTAGCGCATCATCGCATCAAAATATTACTTAGAGATGTTCTAATAATAGCCCCAACAAATGTACTAGTACTAATACTATTATCCCCCTTTGATGAATCATTCTGGCCGGGACTAGAAACAGGTGATGGGCTAGAAGCGGGTGGTGGGCTAGAAACGGGTGGTGGGTTAGGATAGTGTTAGGATCATATGATCTAACCCAGAATCATTACTAATATCAAAAAGTACTTTAAAGTGTATAAATAAGTTACCCGGGCAATTGATTTACATCAGCCAATCATATGAAAGTCCTCC